CGGTACGTTAAAACTTCACAAAGCAAGCACACATTATATTTGATAGGAAAGAAGTAGCAAACCGTACAAGAGCACACGCCAACCACCCATGATTGATAAATGTACATGTAGTATTAATAGGTCAAAACAGGTCTATGGTGCTACATTCGGGATCCACAGAAAGTAATCCATCATCATTAAATTTTGACTTGAAATCTATTTTTTCCCCTGAGTTTTCAGCTAATCAATGGGGCAAGTCTGGGAAACACAGATCAGGTTTTGGAAAGCTTTATATTTCGCTGCAGATTTGTGGCAATTTCATTTGTATGCAATCCAGGCTGTTTTATGATATATTGATAATGATAAATTATGTTCCATATTTTGAAAAATTGCAATGAACCTTTTTGAATTGACCATTTCCTTTAGTTACTTCCCTTTAACTATACATATAATATTTTCAGCGCCACAGATCCGTTGTCGGTATACATATCTTTGCTTCTGTAGCAGCAACCTCTCACACTTTCAACAATTTCAAGAAACGTTTCACCACTTGAATTGGCCTTAATAATCATATAAAAGGCCTTGGACATCTAGCTGTCAATAATACAACTGGAGACAAACGAGGTAGTGGAAGACCCAAAGCAATTTTCTTGGACAGCTCTAAACAGATCGGTGACGGGGAAAGATCAGGAATATAATACTGCTTTTTTGAGAGCATCCGAACAAACGAACGAAGAGCGAACTAAGAGTATGATCACCATGTCTGTCCCAAATTTGGTACCTGAAGATGATTTCACCAACAACAAAAATATTTAAGTCGCGACACTGTGAAATTAGGCTCATGTCAACTTTTCGGCATGTGGAGTTTTTGTTTTCATCTTACAGCTTGTATATTTGTCTTGCAGTCATGAAAAGTACACATCACGCGATGATTTCATCAACAATAATATCTATTTTGAGGGGAAAATTAAGATGCGGTTTATCGTTTAGAGAAGGGAGATCACCATCACACAAATTTTAATGTCTGCTTTACAGCATTAACCAAAGGAGAAAGGCATCAGACTGCTTTGTTGGAAAATAAAAACAAGCAGAATAATTATATATATATAATATAAACATATTTATATCCCACATGAATTTGTTGTAGCATTGTACTTCCGGTGAATTAGATCCTTTTCATACTTCAAATGTAAAATAAGCTGATATCTAATGCGGAAAATATAAGCAAAATTTGCATAAACTATTTCGTGCATATATTCGCCCTCTAACTCTAACCTTGTGTAAGCAAAATCATAATATTATTCTTTAACCGTGCAATGTTATGGCAGCCGCTCATTGCTCTCTGTAAAAACTTTGCTGCAAAGTGCACTCACCATAGGCGCCCAAAAGTGCCAAACACAAGTCTCCTATTTAGTTGAGAGCCCATGCCTTTTTCCTCGTTGCCCTTTTAATTTTGTTCCAACTTGAGTCAAATGGTGTGCACCACATTGAAACGGGATTACGTCAGAGTGCGGTGATATATTTTAGTGCAATGCACAAGTCTGTGCCAGCAAACAAATTCCATGCTTTGGGTTTTTGGTTGTGAAGTTTGAAATCAAAGTCAAAGTCATAACTACTTTAATGACAGCAAATTATTTAAATGCAGTGTCTAAATTTTTCAACTTTTGAACCGTACGTTTTCGACTAGCCTTGCCTATGCTTGCGTTATTATCATTTCGTCTGGGGTTTATTTCGCGGAGGGAAACAAACTTCAATGTATTCTAGAAATCTGGAAGCATCCTTATTTCTTTGTCCTCCTACTGTTTAGTAAAAACGGTGCGGTTGGTTGTTACACGTTCAGTATTTTTAATAATCTATTAGATGTTGCGAATGCCTAGTTGCAACAATAAACACATTATTCTGATTTCCCACCGGTACTTGCTTTTTATAGGTTTCAGTTTCAGTGCACGCTTTACTCTATCCAATTCTTGATAATATATTATGAAAAGATGGAGGTATCTTTACTTTTTTGTAAAACTGTTTTGTAAAACTTGTATGGTCGGTCTTTACACTCTCATTTTTTGTTATAATCTGTCTGATACAATACATGGCTTGTTGCAACAAACGACATATTAATGTGTTTGTCCCCATTTGCTAACATATTATAAGCTTCTTTTACACGGCTAAACTTTATCAATTTCTAGAGGTGTTCATAAAAGCTGTAAACATCTTTATTTATTTGTCCTCCTACTCTTTGAAAAACGTGTGCGGTCGGTCATTTCATTCTCAGTATTGGTTTTAATCTATTATATATTTTATATGCTTTTTTGTCAAGCTATACTCTCTCCATTTCTAGATGTATTCCCAAAAGCTGGAAGCATCTCTATTTATTCTCCATTTTTTTTCGTGAGTAAAACTTATGCAGTCGGTCGCTACACTCTCAGTATTTGTTTAATCCAATAGATATTATGCACGCCTATTTGCAACAACCAACCCATCGTTGTGATTTACCACAGGTACTATCGTATTATAAGCTACTTTGCACGATTAAACCCAGTGAAAACGTAAATGTATTCTTAAAAGTAGCCAGCATCTTTATTTACTTATCCTTTTACTGTTTTGTAGAACGTGTGCGGTCGGTCGTTGCTACCTCAGTATTGTTTATAATCTATTAATTAATATTGTGCTTGCCTAGTTACAAAAACCTACACGTTATTCTTATTTTCCTCAGATACTAGCTTTTAATAAGTTTCGTTGCACTGCCAAACTCTATGCAAACTTAAATGTATTCTAAAAAAGCAGGAAATGTTTATTCATTTGTCGTCCTATTTTTTTAAAACGTGTGTAGTCGGTCGTTACACTCTAAGTATTGATTATAATCTATTAGATATTATGTATTCCTAGTTGTAACAAAAAGAACATTTTTCTACTTTACAACAAGTATTACCATATTAAAGAATTCTATGTCAGGTTTAAGTCGATGCAAACTTAAAAGAATTCTAAAAAGCTGGAAGAATTCTTTTTTTCTTTGTCTCTTCTACTGCTTTGAAAAACATATGCGGTCGGTCGTTACACTATCATTATAGGTTATATTCAGTTAGATATTATGCACGCCTAGTTTTAACAACTAACATTACACTGTGTTTCACCACGTTTGCTAGCATTTTATCGGCTTCTTTGCAGGACTAAACTTTTTCCAATTCTAAAATTAAATGTATTCTGAAAAACTGGAAATAACAGTTTTGTAAAACCTGTGCGATCCGTCGTTACACGTTCTGTATTTTAAAATAATCTATTAGAAGCTACGTATTCCCAGTTGCAACACCAAACACATTATTCTGAGTTCTCACAGGTATTAACTTTTTATCGGTTTAATTGCACGACTTTACTGTATCCAAGTCTTGATATACTCTGAAAGGACGGAAGTATCTTTATTTTTTGGTGCCCCTATTGTTTTGTAAACGTTTGTGGTCGGTCGTTACACTTTCAATGATGGTTATAATGTATTAGATCCTGCATGCCTTTTTGCAACAAGCAACACATTATTGTTATTATCCACAGGTACTAGTATTTTATAGGATTCTTTGCCAGGATAAACTCCATGCAAACTTAAATGAATTCTGAAAAGCTGGAAGCATCTTTATTGAGTTGCCCTTCTACCGTTTTGTAAAACGTTGACAGTTGGGCGTTTCACTCTCAGTATTGGTTACAATCTATCAGTTTTTTGCATGCCTAGTTGTAACAACCAACACATCATTGTGTTTTACCACAGATGCTAGCATGTTGTACGCTTTTTGGATCCAAACCTAAATGTGTTCTGAAAAGCTGGAAGTATCTTAGTTTCTTTGCCCTCCAACTGTTTTGAGTAACTTGTGCAGTTAATCGTTACTCCTTGAGTATTTGAATCTATTAGCTTGTGTGCATGCTTAGTTGTAACAACACACATATTATTGTGCTTTACAACAAATGCTAGCATTTCGTTGGCTTCTTTTTCAGGCTAAACTCTATCCAAACCTACATTTGTTCTGAAAAAACTGGAAGAATCTTTGTTTTATTGTTCCACATACATTAATACATGTTTGTTTGTTTAGTACACGGTTTTGCGGCGCTCGCAACTGCATACGGTCATATGAGCGCGCGAATATTTTAATATATGTATGTTTATATACGCAGGAAATTTCATATAACGGTATGCGATTAAAATGAACAGAAACAAAAACAAACAACAAAGAAAAGAAAAAAAAATCAAATTCAACTTTTCTCATTCAAAAGCGATGTTTATTCAAATTTATCATCAATACCCACCCGTCCCTTTTATCCACCAATGGCAAGTAGAATTAGCATACACCAATAATACTATTTCAACCATGACCCCCCCCCCCAACCACCCCTCGCGCCTGAAATAAAATAAGTTAATAAATATGATTTACAAAAAAATCTCTCCTCGACTCAAACAAATACATTTAGTGTGATCAACCCTTTTCCTTAACAACGTAAGGCCTGCACGCAACATAACAGGTCTCTTTCCAATAAGGCCTACTTTTGCACACAAAAAAAGGGGGGGGGGTGGGGGAGGGGGGGGAGAAGTCCAATGGAAGTTTGAGTTTTCAGTCCCGCAAGGCTAAGTAAATGTTACTTTTTTGTTGGCTTTTTAGGTATTTTTTTTTTTAAGTTTGTTTTAATTCACTCACACCCGTTTTTCTTGTTTGTACCCCTTCCCATTTGCACAGAAAAAACCGTCACCTCAACTTCAAAACAACACTCCCCCGCCGGGCCCCCGCCCCCCAATTCTCATTACAAATCCTGTAAGAGATGTTTTCAAGAGTCTTCGCTCACTTGACGTGGGTCCTATTGAAGATGGACGATGATTGGAGGTTTTTTGTGCTATTTTAACATTTTAATGACGGTGCTACGGGGGGGGGGGGGGGGGGGGGGG